TGGTGAGGTTGTATTTACCTGATCATTCTATGCTGGTGTGTTTCCCCTAGGTTTGTTTGTTTGTTTGTTTGGGGTGGTGCTTATTTTGTTTTGATATATCCAGTCAGTTAGGGCAGTGAGCTACTTAGGTGCATACCACCTGTCTCCTGATGGGTGTGGTAGCACATGGCAATGTGTACACAGGTCTCTGTTTGCTGTTTGTATAGAACAGTTGAAGATAATGTAGGCTGGTGTTGGCCTCCATCTGTCAATGATAAAGTGGTGCAGAGTGGTTGGTGGCACTCACCTAGTGGTTGGGTGGCAGGTGGAATAAGTGTGGACACAGTTGCTGCCTGCCACCAGGTGAGAAAAAAAAAAGGAAAGGAAGTGGAGGCAGAAATTAAAAAAGAAAAGAAAAACAAACAGGACAGAGTGCACCACAGGCTGCAGGAGAAGTGGAGTGGAGGAGAGCCTTGGTGAGGTGGAGAAAGGCTGGCTGGATGGACCACTGAGTGGGGCAGGGATAGCAGGAGGAGGCCACCACCAGCCACCTGGCAGGGATAAGTGGCAGCCATAACTCTGGTCACCGGGAGGTTTCAAGTATGAGGGGATGATCATACTTCTCTGGTTGCCAGCCACCAGCATGGGCACGTACAATCCTGGGCAAGTGGAGCCTGTTAGCTGGTTCCTGCCCTGATCAGAATGCTGCTTGCAATAATTCAAAATGGCCACTCTGTGCCAGGCCAGCTGGCAATGCACCACTCTGTATGTCTGCTTGTTCACTATTTTCATTCAGTTTCTTCTTCTAAGCCGGATTTGAGCTACTTCTTTATCCTTTCTTTTGAAGCTCATGGTTCCAGGATTAGCATCTGTAATTCTTTCATTTGGTTTCTCAGGTCTTTGTTGTAGAGGTTCTGTGTAGCATGTCTGCCTAGTTCATCATCTTAACTCTTCTCTCTAGATTACCTTTCTTTGGAATGAGCCTGTATATGAATCAGTTGAAAAGGTGGCTATCTTCCAAATTTCTTGGCATAGATAAATGAGCACTTTCAGTGTTGTGTCCATGTTGAAACACCAGTTGGTATCCAATCAGTTCCTGGAGGCTTGTTTTTGCCACTGTCTTCAGTGCAGCTTGGACTTTGTCCTTCAATACCATCAGTTTTTGATCATATGCTAAAACAATCCTTCAATACTGCCACTCAAGGCTTGAGTTTTTTCTTAAGTTCTTTCAATTTGAGAAATGCCAAGCATGTTCTTATCTTTTCATTTTCTAACTCCAGATCTTTGTTCATTTTATAATATTTAAGTTTTGCCAAGCTGCCCTCTGAAATTTGCTGGTCAGCTTTTAGTTCTCTTACTTGTTCTTCAGTTTCTTTTCATTCTTCTTTATGTTTTAGCTATTCTACATTCAAGAGCAAGTTTCAGAATCTCTTCTAAATCTATTTTGGTCTTTTCTTCCTTTCCTGTCTCTTTGTGGCCTGTTTCTTTCTTCATGTATGATGTCCTTAATTTCATCTAATTCATCTGGTCTTCGGTCATTAGTGATCAATGTAAAAATTATTCTTGAGATGGTCTCTAAATTCAGGTGGGCTCTGGTAGCATAGTGCCTCAGGCACTTGACTGCTAACCAGAAGGCTGGCAGTTCAAACCCACCAGCCACTCCTTGGAAGGAAGATGGGGCAATTTACTTCCGTAGTGATACTGCCTCCGAAACCCAAAGAGGGGTCGCTATGAGTTGGGTCCAACTTGTCGGCACATAACAACAACAACAACAAAGTGAGTGGGCCTCACTCAATCAGTTGTGGGTCTTAAAGGCAAAAACTGAGGTTTCCTAAGGTAGAAGAATTCTGCCTCAATACTATAATACTCCTCACTTACCGTCTATCTTATTATATAAAATTTTGCATTTATGACGATTGGAAAAATTCTCAGGTGGCATCACCGATGGTTCTGGTCCTACACATGGACGCGGCTGGCCCCAGGGTGCCCTCCATGCTCCCCTTCAAACAACATACCTGCGACCCCACAGACAACTGAGAATACAAGGGGTGGCAGCCATTTGGCCATGGGACACCTTCTCCCATTCATCTGCAACATCTCAGTCTTGCCACAGAGGGCACAAGGTGACAGCGAGATGACGTGAGGTCATGGGTGGGCAGGGAGAGGCCAGTCAAGGGCCCAAAGGTACCAGCAAGGTCAATGTGAAGGGTAGGAAAGGGAAAAGGAGGTTGTGCATAGCTGCTGAGCCAGGGTGTTTAGAGGAAGAGCTGAGCTCCAACCCAGGTGGATAGCAGGAGGCAGCAGGTAGAGGACGAGCAAGGTCCCTGCCCAGGGTGGGTGCTGGGAGGCCAGAAACACGCAACCACCACTCTCAACTCCCACAGGAAACACAGTGGCAGGGAAGGTATGGTGGGGAAAGTGACCTACTGTACCATGCATATTCCGAGATGCACCAGGAGTGCCTGAAATTCAGTGAGCAATGGAGGGAAGGGATGGGGCACAGCTCTCAACCCTCACAGAGCACCAACTTCACATGATGACCTGGTCTTTGATACCTAACCCTGTCCATAATTGAGAAGTGGGTGTACAGACATCCTGCTGAAGTTTCTAACTCATTATCTACCCAAAATATAGCAACAAGGCCTAAAGATTTCATCTAAAACAAAACCAAACCTACTACCGTTGAGTCAGTTCCAACTCATAGCAATCCCATTGAGTTTCCGAGGTGGCAAATCTTTATGGAAGTAGATTGCCCAGTCTTGCTTCTGCGGAGTGGCTGATGGGTTTGAACCACCAACCTTCTGGTTAGCAGTCAGATGCCTTAGGCACTGTGCTACCAGAGGTCATCTAACCTCAAGAAATGTGAATAGCTAGATAATTACCATACAGAATTGACATCACATTAGGATTTAATTTTTACAAATGTACATCCACAAGTAAGGACATAGTTGTAATTTTCAAAGAAGACGTGCTCCTAAAGTAAAATTAGCAAAGTCCTTTAAATGCAAAGCAGTGTCAAAAGAATGACTATCATGTTAGCATCTTGCCAGACTAGAAGAATTAACACATATTACCCCAAACACAAAAATACCACTGCTGACTCACTTCAGTTTGGGGTTGACCTTCCATCACTCTCCCATCGAACCACTGTCTAAATGGCATTCATTTGACAGAAGGCTAGCAGCCAGTGATAGACATTCCATCTCTAACAAAGGACCATAATGCAGTTGCTGGTCTTCTTTAGAAAATTACCCAATGGTTTTAGGTTATTGGTCCTCTGTTATCACCAAGTGAATCAAATAATAGAAAAGTGGGATCCACCCATAAAACCTTCAAGAATTCTCATTGCTCTCTCATGTTTTCATTGCAATAACTGAAGAACAACAAAGTTAATCAGAAGTAAATATGGATTTTCCGCAAGAGGAAGAGACAAAAAGGAAAAAGACATCTTCCTTTTTCAATTTACTACATTTATTGTTTTGGTAAGGCATGGAGGTTTTAATACAGGAAAGATATGAGAGATGATTTGCAAGGATTTAGACACAAGATGCCATTTAGGATGCCCTCCCCAGCTTCCATAGAGTCTTCCACAACTTAGGACCAGGAGTAAAAGAACCAGACAGCCACTGCAAACCTAGTCATTTCTGGTAGGTTCATTTTAAAAAGCAGTGCAAGCTTAAGGGTTTATTTTTTCACTCCTTTATGATATCATAGCATTAAATCTTTAAAATATTAGGATTCTGTTTCTTATTACAATTGATAATGGGAACCATTGTGAAATGTTAAGTCAGGAAATAGTAAAAGTACCAATTTAGGAAACAGAGATTAGAAAGGGTGTATAGGATTAGACTGGAACCAATAGTGTGGGATTCTTTGATCTAATTCTCTGCTGCAGAATTATGAGAAAGTAGACTAGGTAGAGCAAGATAAGGGGAATGAAAAGAGTTTTCTTCACTCTTTTGAGCTTCAGACGAGAGGAGACCATTAGCTGCATCTTAGATGGCCGCTCGAAAGCTTTTAAGACCCTAGTCACTACTCAACGGAGTAGGTTGTGGAACAAGTTTTTTTATGTATTATGTTGTGCCTATTGAGGCTGGTGTGAGGGCACCAGAATGGGGGGGAGGCACTGGGAAGGGAGAGGAGGTGAGTGGGTTAGGGTTGGGGATGATAATTGGGGAATTAAACCAAATGTACATGAACGGTTGAATGTAAAATAAATTCTGCTCTGTAAATTTGTACTCAAAGCA